GGGGGGGGGGGGGGGGAAAAGGGGGGGGGGGGGGGGGGGGGGGGGGGGGGGGGGGGTATGAATAAAAAGCTAAGGGATGATAGTGACAAAATACACCAAATAAAGGTGATTTGGGATATTAGGTCCTTACCAATTCATATCCAAACAAAAGAGAATGAGTGAAGCCTGTTAAATATCAGATGTCTTTATGAGGCTTTCAAAGATTGTCATCTTTCACTTGAGAAAACTATCCAATTCAATTCAATCATATCGGAAAGTTCATCTCAGAAGAGGGAGCTGAATCTAAAATTATGTTCATGAACAGTCGAAAAGTTGTAACTCTTGAGGTTGATCGTATAGATGAGCTAAAAGCTTTTGACGATACAAAAGCTGGTGTGAAGGGACTTGTGGATTCTGAGATAGTGAAAATTCCGCGTATCTTTATCCACGATAAGAACAAGATTAATCAGTTTCCAGTATCCTGCAATTCTCAGCTAAGTATTCCGATCATAGACTTTGCAGGCATCGACAAGGATGATTATAGGCGCTCTGAGATCATCGACAAAATCAGAGATGCTAGCGAGAATTGGGGATTTTTTCAAATAATTAATCATGGGATTCCGACTTCTGTTGTCGGTGATATGATGGTTGCCATAAGAAGATTTCATGAACAGGACATTGAGGTGAAGAAACAGTATTACTCAAGGGATTTTTCGAAGAAGTTCATATACAACAGTAATTTTGATTTATACCAAGGTCCAGCAGCTTACTGGAGAGATACTCTTGAATGCATTTTGGCTCCTCATCCACCTGACCCTGAAGAATTGCCTGCTATCTGCAGGTATACACTTTTGTTTTTGCGGTTTTTATTCATTAAGAAAATGTGACAGAAGATAATGAATTTATAATTTAACATGAGTCGTTCTTGTTGAACCCCCTCGTCTAAAAGCTTAAATTTTAGAGAAGATAAACTTATTTAAAACTATGTTTTAATAATTCTTCTTGCTCGTTCGCTAATTTTTCAATTGCAACTTTGTGTTCTCTCTGCAGATTGCTTAAAAGCATCTTGTATTTTGCTTTTCATGTCCATGTCTAAAGTAGTTTATACCCTTGGTCGAGTTTCTACATTTACTAGTGTATTAGTTCGAGCTGATATTTTAACAGATCTTAATTTCTCTCCTTTAATACTCCTGAACCACCGGGCCTAAAAGCTTAAGCTGTCAGGTCCTTCGTTTCAACATGTATCAGAGCAGTACAAAGTCCTATCTTTATAACCTTGGATGATTTTCAGAGGCATAATGACCAAGTATGCTTACTATGTAACGAGGTTGGGGCATACTCTCTTCGAACTACTGTCCGAAGCTTTGGGGCTCAAACCTGATCACCTGAATGACATGAACTGTGCTGAGGGGCTTTTACTTCTAGGTAACTACTATCCAGCTTGCCCTGAACCAGACTTGACAGCTGGGCTTAGCAGCCACACTGACAGTGGCTTCCTAACTATAGTACACCAAGATCAAATTGGTGGTCTACAAGTCCTTCATGAGAACCAGTGGATCAACGTCCCCTCGACCCCTGGATTGCTGATTGTAAACATCGCAGATCTCTTGCAGGCAAGTAATGTTATATTCAACTTGAGATGAGTTTAGTAGAATCTGTTATGTATGACATTTCGATGCAATTTTCAGAGAATGAATCAATATAGACGCGTGAGCTGCTTGTTTTTTGGTTTTGGTTTATGTTTATTGTTGCTATCAGAAGAAAGGACAGGAGTTAAATCCGTAAAAAACAAATGCTAGCAATGAGAGAAAATATAGGCGTTTTTCAAACACATCGCTTTCATAAATTCTAGTGATGACAGCGCATAAACAAGTCATAACAATATATTTCATTCCTGTGTAAAACTTGACTTACATTGTTTACCTTTGCTCTTTTTCGGGACTAAATCTAACATTTGCTTGACTGACCCTGACGCAGCTGATCACTAATGATAAGTTCAAGAGTGTTCATCACAGAGTACTGGCAAACAAGAGAGGCCCAAGAATTTCAGTAGCATGTTTCTTTAGAACACATTTTCGAGATGGGATTTCTTCGAGACAGTATGGACCAATCAAAGAGTTGTTATCAGATGAAAATCCTCCAATCTACAAAGAGATCACAGTAAAAGAATTCATCGTGCAGCGATACAAGAATGGCCTCAACGGAATTTCTGCATTGTCAAGTTTTAAGCTCCATAAGCTGGCCCCGGAGAACTAAAGGTGTGCAGTAATAGACCGGAGAATTTATGATTATACTGGCCATGAAAAAATTTCAGTTTGGGGGTTAAAAGTTCAATTGTATTTTGGGCAAAAATAAGCAATTTTGATTGAGTAGCAATTTGTATCTGATAAATTTATTAGAAATTAATTAAAATTTACCAAACTGCATATAAATTACATATATTGCCTATTTTTTTCAAGCTTATTATACTTAATATAAGCTGGTATTGGCATTGGTATTGCTTCTGTAGATAGCTAGACTT